CGAGGTAGGCAACGGCCCGAAGGACAAGTCCAAGGTCATCAGCGCATGCCCGACAAAGTCCACGGCCTTGAGCTTCGAGGACGGTCTCGAGGTTGAGCAGGAAGCATGCAGTGCCCAGCGCATACAGCGTGCCGCTCCATCCGCATCCCTGGATGATGCCCGACCTGATGTAGAAAAGCGGGGCGTACTGGCCAGCGCACGGGGCCATCGCGAGGATGTTGTTGCACATGGAGTCGAAGAACATGAGGACCGCTTCAGGAGCGCCCATGGCTTTGAGCGCCAGACGGATGAACTGGTGGGCGAAGCTGGGAAAGGCCTGCGCGATGTCCAGTGACACCAGCACGGGCAGCATGTTCTGGGCGTCTGGGTCGGCCGAGGCAATGCGGCTCTCGGTGTCGAGCTCGAGGATGTTGTAGCCGAAGTTGCGCCGGTGGATGAACCCGCGCTGTGAGGCTGGGACTACATCAGCTGCCACCGTTGCCGTCGCAGCATTCATCGCGCTGCTGATGATCTTGAGGGACGTGTTGCGCAGTCCCAGGACACGGACTTTGGACGGGTCTCGATGGCAGCCGTTGTGTTCCGAGTCCTCTGGTTCCTCACCTTTGGGCAAGAAGGCTTGGACGGTCGCGTTCACTTCGTCGGGGAGGATCCCGCCGTTGAGCATGTAGCACATGACGTCCCAGAGAACCTCGGTGCACTTCTCGTGCGCGGACCAGGCGAGGTACGGTAGTCCGTCAAGGCCTGGCGAGGTGGGTGACGAGCGCTTGGCGAACTTCTTGAGCGTCTCGTAGTCTGGCGGCTTGTACTTGAAGAAATCGATGGTGGGCGAGAACTTGTTCAGATAGGCTGCGGCCTTGGTCAAGTCGACGGTCTTGCCCTCGAAGACGGGCTGCCAGTGCTCGACAAGTTTCTTGAGTCGCTCATTGGGGCCCGTCACGGTGCCCTCACTTGTCTTGACCCCCGTCAGAACCAGACGCTTGCTGAGCGGGTTCCAGAGCTTGAGCTTCCGATGCAGTGCTTGGGTTTGTCCGCGCGCTTGAGCGGGTCGTGGGCGCCCACGCTGAACTGCTTGGTCGATGGCTGCGAAACGCTGTTCAGCATCTTGGCGGAAAAAGGATGCCTGCCCACTCCTCGAACTTTGCATGGTCGATGAGTTCAACGCTGTCTCCGTTGATCTGGATATGTTCTTTCGCGACTAGGTGCGAGCGAAGGAGGCGAGCAGCGAGTTGTCGGTCTTGGCGCCAGACCGCCCGAGAGATCGACTTCGCTACCTGGAAGAACACGTCGCCACTGTTCGGTTGCATTTCATGAAGACGGTCACGAGTTTCACGTGCGATTTGTCGAAGGAGGTCGGTGGTCAGAATCAGCTTGGTCGGCGGGGATAGGTTGTCCATGGGGGAGGCGGCGAACACGTTGTCGGCAATCTCTTTGAAGACGGGGGAATTGACAATGTACTGGGCGATCGGCTGGTTCGGCGAGGGTTTGGCGTCACGCATCGTGAAGGAGACGAAGAGGGCGGCATGGTCACTGACTCGACGGCGTGAGAGATCTTCGGGTGTGGAGAAGGTGGAGGACGTAACAGCCAGTTGCATCATCTGCGTGGGGGTGAACGAGCAGAAGCATCTGTCAATGGTGGTCTCGGCCTTCGTCTCGGAGCAGCAGTGCGTGGTGTCGGCGCTGTCGATCTCCACTAGGTGCTTCAGGGCGTTGTGCCACTTGCGCACCGATGCTTTGGACGTTTCGGATGGGTTCGAGTTGCCCTTTGCCACGGGGTCCAGGAGCTTCAGCTTCCCGACGGCGGAGAAGTTGAAATCACCAGTGACGAACATGACATTGCGGCCCGGGTCGGACCTCACCCACTGTAGGTCGTTGTTGATGCGCGAGGTGATGTTCTGGATGGTGGCGTTGCTGAGGTCGTAATTGTGGATATTGTAGAAGATCATCACTTGGTCGCCAGCACGGAAGACAGAGCGTAGGACACGGCCAGGGAAGATGGGGTCGCTCACGGCGTTCATCCCAGCTGGGAACACAGTGGCTACCCCGCCACTGATAGTGCCATGATATCCAGGAGCGAAGGAGGAGTGCATGTCAAGAGTGCTGTCGATCTTCCGCATGAAGGCGAGGAGCTGGCCGTGGTTCTGGTGCACCTCCTGGATGCCCAAGACCATCTTGCGCAGCGGCATGGACTTGAGGTACGAGGACTTCTCCACGACGCGTCTGCCCTGGTAGCCCAAGAGAGCGCGGGCGTTCCACGTGCCGACTGCTAGGCAGGGCGGCGGCCCGCTGGGGAGACGCTTCTGGCTGCGCGCCAGCTCGTCAAAGCCAAACTTGCGGGGCGGCTTCAGGTGCGACGACCACGCTGGCTGCGTTCTTGAGCGTCGTGCGGTCGATGCCCAGCGCGGGCAGGCCGGTGTCCTGGAACGTGAGGATGGTCGGCTCGTCCCTGCCAGGGCGGACGCTGTACGCGATGACGGGGGCCCAGCCTGCTGTGATCCAGGCCTTGGTGCGGTCCACTCGCCAGACGTGGTTCGGGAACTCGCGTTCCATGGCCTGGCGGAGGCGCTTCCCCACGATCTCCGTCTTGATCTGCTTCGGCGACTTGTCGGGGCCCATCCGCAGCTCGACTGTCCCGTGGCCCGAGACAGCGTCGGCGTAGATGCGCACCCAGGTGCCGTTGGGCGAGCGCATGCTGTCCAGGACCTTCTGCACTCGGCGGCTGGCGGGGCCAGGGAGGCCCGTGAACTTGACAGTGAAAAATTTGGCAGTGTCATTGCCCGTGACAGTAAAGTCAGACTCGCGGATGTCGCAGCCCGCCACAAACTTGGTGAGGGACTCGGTGGCCTTGGCCAGGGTGACGAGGCCGTCGGCGTGGACCTTGATGATGGTGGCGTCGATCTCGCGGTCGAAGTCGCGCCCGATGTACTGCTGCTTGATCGGCTGCTGGTTGGCTGTGGCAAGCTCGCGTTGCAAGACCTTGATCTGCTCCGCCATGAGCTCGATGGCTTTGTCAGTCTTCTCCTGCTTGGCCTCGACCTCGCCGACGCGGATGTTGAACGCGTCGAGCATCTGCTGGAAGTGGGAGGAGGAGGAGGAGGAGGAGGAGGAGGAGGAGGAGGCGCCCCCAGGTCCGAGCGCCGCAGGAAAACCGCGAGCGGCAGTGCTTCGACTTGTCCGGCTTTTGCAGGCAGTGACCCCGGCCCAGGGGCCGTCAAGAAGCAGACCCCGGGGGGAAGGGGGGTTGGGCCGAGCCAGCCGGGGCGACGGCGCGGCCGACGCGTGCCCGCGGCAGCAGATGCTCCAAAGTAAAAGGGGGGAGGGGGGCAGGGGAGGAAGAGGACCACTGACCAAACTGCCAGGACAAACGAGCGGGCCGCCTGTGCACAGTTCTCCCGATTCTTTGGGGGGCTCGCGCCGCTGTAAATTGTGCAGCCCGCGGAGGAGAGGGCAGGTCTACCGTGGAGGCCCTGGTGTTGTGTTGCATCTTCGAGGGGCACTATCTGCCCCATCGCGCCGCCGTCCGCGTCATGCCGAACGTCGAGTTCGCGTCGGATACAGGGCGGATCCGCAGCGTAACCGCGGCGGAGACGAGAAGAGGACGCCACTTTTGGGATCGCCGACGTTACAGCGCAAACTCGTTGCCCTTTATAGAGATCTCCTGGATGGGGGCCGAGTAGATGGGGTAGGAGGATCTCGCCACATCGGCGATCATCGGCGATGCATCGGCGATGCATCGGCGATGCATCGGCGACGTCAGCGCGGAGAGGATCGGAGACCACATCGAGCCACATCGGCGATTCATCGGCGATGTTGCGCGAGCCTCCGACCCCGTCTGCTCGGACCCCATCTGGGAGGCTTACACGGGGTTCATTTCTAATCGTGCTCATTTCTAATTGTGCTCGTTTCTGATTGTTCCTGGCCCCCTCATGGCTAGGAAGAGGCCCAGGATAGAAGAATTAGAACTGACAGGATCTTGGCCCCACAAAAAATCAAAGAATCTTCCAAGAATTGGAAATGAGCAATGTGTAATTGTCCGCTGGGCATGGCGGGATATAGCGTAATCGATTGCTGCCCTTGCCGCTTGCCGATGTTGAGCCCTATAGGCTCCACACTTTTGCGGCCACCCCCCCTGCCGGCGCTGCGGAGCTCGACGTTTTATGTTTTGCCGCGCCGATGCGATCCTTCCGCCCCGGATCGGGGTGCCGAGGGAGCGCCCAGCAACCTTGAAGGGGCCCTGGGACACACAAATAAATACACACTGCTACCAGGATTCCCGATGTTGTCCTTTGTTTTCTGTGCTTTCGTCTCCCTCCCCCCCCACTCCCCATATTTCCCCATCTTCTCGGGGGATTCGACGATGCATTGTGTCTGTGCGTTTTTTGTTCCCCTCCTGAAGCCTGTGGAGGCCCGCGCGGACCACCTCCGGGTGACCGTCGAGGCGCCGACCCCCATGCACCGCGCAGGCCCTGTCGGGCACTGGACGGGGGGGGGGCCAACGCGGGACCCCGTGGGGCTCCCGAGGGCCGGGGGCACCGTGCGGCAAAGGGAGCACCCGCAGACATCCGGCGAGGTGCTGCTGTTATTCCACCCGCGGTCCCCACCGCCCGCCCCAGCCGAGGTCAAGTGTCGCTCTGGATCCGCTTTTGGATGGCCGGAAAAGGCCCCCGGAAACAGAAACAAAAGAAAAGAGCCGCAACAAAGACTGAATCTGCTGGAGGTCTGGCGTTCTGCCACTTCTCATCCCGAGTCCTCTCCTGACGGTCCCGGGGCGGGGGGAGGCCCCCTAGGCCGAAAACTGCCGAACCTGGGTCTGGGAGCACCCGGGCCTGCATGACCTTTGACACTAAACTTTGCGCAGCGTCTGGGTGGCGACACTGGGCCACGAAAGCGCGACCTGGGAACTGAGTGCGAGCACCGCATGTCTGCACACGATTGTACCAATCATCTGCTGGGCTATTGTTTCGTCCATGCAGGCGCCACAGGGCAAAAGTCGGCACCCGGGCCTGCATGACCTGCTCCTCGGTGGCGGCGCCCATCATCCACAAGGGCACAGTCGACTTGCGCCCCCCCGACTCCCCGACGGGGTTCACCTTGTCGAGGGTGACGCGGCGCGGCTGCGGCTTGTGCCTGCCATGCGACCTGATGGGGGCGCCCGCGCCGTCTGGAGGGCACCAGGGCGGTCCGATGCGGCGGAGCTCCTTGGACCACCGCTGAGGTTGCTAAGATGATCGGGTGAGTAAAAATGGATTCGAATGTGTGTGCTATCTGGCCAAACCTAGCTTATCAATGGCTTACCCGCGCCCGACGTAGCCTGGAAAAGGTTTACGTAACTCTGCTTTGCGGGCTCCGCCCACTTAACCCAAAGCCAGCTTAGGCCAGATGCAACCGACCTTAGCAGCAAAACCCCCTAACTATCCCCGAAGCACCCCCCGCGGTAGCCCAAGTCGGGTGCGCAGAGTTCGCGGCGCGCGCAACCCCGAGACCCTCTCGTTGCCTTTGTTGTCACACCCGGCGATCTCGCCCCAGCCTCGGGCCCCAGGACCATCACTATCGGCCCGGCTCGAACAGTGCCGCAGGAAGATGGGGTGTAGGGCTCCAGTCGTAAAGCTCTTCGCGGTGATGTAGTTCTCGCGCCCGTCAAGGGGGGCCTCGGGACAATCCGATGGGGCGGAGCCAAGGCGCTCGCGTGGTGAACAAAATCACGGCGAATGTGTTTAAACTACACGGGATGAATCGCTGGTCCTGGGGAATCGGTCTAGACCTCTGGTCGGCGGCGAGCGAAGGGGGGGAAGTGAGAAGGAGAGGGCCTTCTCAGAAGGCCTGGCCTTCTGAAAGGTCTTCGAAACCGCCCCGAAGACGCAAAACACCTTCTCTGAAGGCGCGAGGGCTGCCGAGAAGTTCCGCCGCCTTCTGAGAAGGCCTTCTCCTCCTCACTTCCCCCCCCTCTCTCGCCGCCGATCTGGGGGTCCGCGTGGAGACAATTGGGCCTCACATCGAGCCGCATCACCGATGCATCGCCGATGCATCGGCGATGCGGTGCAATCCTCCGACCCCATCTACCCCGACCCAATCTAGAAGGCCTAGACGGATGCGGGGGGGTTCTCAGAAGGACCCTGGGGGCTTCTCAAGAAGGCAGGCTGGAAGCCGAGAGGGTCCTTGCGAAGGCCGCCGCCTCCCAAGAGGCCCCCATCCCCCGCTTGCTTTGAAGGCCGCCCCCTTCGCGCGCCCACCGCCTGCGCGCGCCGTCTCACGAGGGCACCCCATGCACCGAAACCATGCCTGGCGGGGGGCCATCGTGGTTCCTGCACGCGGCATGGTGTGGATCGGCGGCGAGCGAAGGGGGGAAGTCAGAAGGAGACGGCCAGCTCAGAAGGTTCGGAAGTCCCCCCCCCCCGCCCTTCTGAGAGGTCTTCGAAAGCTTTCCCCGAAGGCACACAACACCTTCCCCGAAGGCGCGAAGGCTTCTGAGAAGCCCCGCCGCCTGCCGAGAAGGCCTTCCGCCGATCTCTATAGGTCCTCGTGGCCTCGGCCACGGGGGAAGACGCAGCGTCCTAAGGGCCCAGCATGGCCCTCGCCGGGCAATGGCGGCTGTGTGCAGCTGCCTGCTGCGGAATAGCGCGGGCGACCCAAACAATCGAAGGGGCCCAGGGGCACACAAAGAAATACACACAGATCCCAGGATGTCCCATACTTCCTAATATTTTGCTGATTTTCGTCTGCCCCCCCACTTCCCATACTTTTCCCAACAGTTCCCGGGGGATCGACTATTATTTGTGTCTGTGTGCTTTTTCCCTCCTGAACAATAACGTGCCAAATGGCTTTAAGGCCTGTTCCTACCCGAGGCCGTTCCAGGTCTATGCGCGGGCGGTCTCATACGACACGGGCGTGAATCCCATGGTTACCCTGAGCCTCGCGGGCCCCGCGAGCCCAGCGGAGCGCATGAGCCCGATGAGCGCGTGAGCTTCGTGCGCGACCAAGGGGCATCCTATGACCGAGGGATCGGCGAGGGGCAGCAAGCCGAGAACATGCTGCACTTCTCGTATTCCCACGCTTGAGCTCACTGGTCATGAGGACAGGCGCCTGCGCCCGCCTGCCTTGGCACGTCTTGGCGGCCCCGGGGTGCCTCTGCCCAGCCCCACCTGCCCAGGACGCCCCTCAGGCTGCCCATGACACGACTGGCGGACCCGACAGAGAGGCCCTTCCCTTCTGGACCGCCAGCGGGCAGACGTGCGAGTGCGAGGCCAGGACACAACGACGAGCGCTTGCGACCTGGAAGCGGGCCGCCGAGCCCTTGTCGCCAGCGCCGGCGCCGCCCTGGGAGGAAGAGGAGGTATGGGAGCGTTGTTTTTGTCGAGGCTCCCGCCGGCAAAGTCAGTGGCTGCTGCTCTGGCTGCTCGTTCTACCTCTGCCGCTAAGCCCGCCAACCCGCCCAGCCATGCATCCTGCTCACAGGCCAAGGCATCTCAGAAAGGACGCCCAAGTGCCAGACCGCCAAGTGTGATGTGGATGCTACCCACGCCCATGCCGGCTGCATCGTTGACACTAACCTTGACGAGGCACGCACAAAGAGTTTCGAGAAGCTGGTTACGACAATCAATGTTTCCTTCATTTCTTGCTGTGCCCGCGCCCTCGGATGGCCGCCGGGGCGGTGTGGCATTGTTTGGGCCTGATGAGTTGCGGAAGGATCCGTGGATGTGGTCCTCCGACTTTGCGGGCAGGGTGGTCTCGGGAGTCTTGCACGTCAACGGCTCTGACATGATCATCATCGGCATGTAAATGCACGTCAAAGACCCGCACGCTCGCAGGAAGCTTGCGGACGCTATCGCGGAGCGAGTGGCCGCTTCAGACTTGCCGGCACTTGTGGTCGGGGACTGCAACGCGGAGCCGTACGACGGTGAGCTCTCGCCGTGGCTCGGCCTCCTGGACTGTGCTCACGAGAAGACTCAACCTCCTACTTCTTTCAACACCCACGGGGACAGGATGATCGACCTCGCCATGGTCAGACGCCTTGCCGTCGAGTCCGTCTCCCCGGACACCAAGATCAGCGACCATGCCGCCGTGGTGGTGCAGGTCCAGCTCGAGCCCCAGGCCGTCGTGCAGACGATTCGGAAGAACCACCCTCTGGACATCCCTGACGACTGGGAGGAGGAATGGCGATCCGCATCTAAAGCAGCGGCCTGGGAGCGAGCAGTTCGAGAAAATGACGTCGACCAGTTAGGGGCGATATGGTGTGATTGCCTGGAGGCTTCCTGCGGGGTCCCAGAAGATCAGCGTACACGGCAATTTGGCACTCTTCTGAAGAAGTGGCAGAGGACGTTCCGGGGCGCCCAAGGGCACTGGCTGTGTGTAGTGGAGCGACGACTGCACCGACTCCTGCGCCGCATCACCGAGCAGCAATTCAAAGACAGGGCGGGGCAGGACCCCCCTGACCTTGTCCGGAGCATCGAGCGGAGCCTCCAGAGCCTCATCGCCGACGGGGTTCTGGACCAGGACACCGACCTCCTCGACTACCCGGCCAGCACTCCCAGCCAACCCGAGGCGCCGACGCAGCGCCTACGCAGAGATCCGATGTCGTGATTTTTTCAATGCGGGGTCTCAGGAAGTCTCGACCCTTTCCCCAGGACTGGTTTTTCATCCTAAGTTGTCCTTTGACGGTCCCGAGGCCCGGTACAGTCGGGGCGTTGACCTAAGGAACCCTATTTTCCATAAGTTAACCTTCGATTTCCTGTCGAAAACATAAGGAACGCCTGAGGCAAGCTGTGAAACACTTAAGGAACGCGGAGCCCCTCCCCAACGAAAAGGGTTCCTTCTTCAGGGCCCCGACTGTAAGGGCCCCCAGAGGCTGAAAACTGAGAAGAACCGCCGTCGTGATATTTTTTTTTGCGTTGGATCTCTGGGATTGCGCAGCGCCCACCAGGGGGAAACCCGGAGCTCCAACACGAGGCGCCCCCGAGGCGCCCGCCCGGAGCGCCCCGGCCAGCACCGAGGAGGCGCCCCCAGCAGCACGCGGCAGCCACGGGCGCCCGCCACGGGCGCAGGACCCGGGCGCCCTCCCCGCCCACACGGAGGCCCCCCCCCCCCCCCCCCCCCGCGGGCGAAGGCCCGAGCCAGCACGAGGCGCCCACGAGGCCACCGCGGGCGCCGGCCGGGCGGCGGCGCGGCACCTCGAGGGCCTGTGCCCGATGGCAGACATATGAGCATCCCAGACAGGATCGCGCCGCGAGAAATTCGGGACGGAGGTTTTCCGCCGTTGTCGGTCTCTGGAGGCCCTCGCCGGGCCCCGGGGCCGTCAAAGGACGACGCAGGACGAAAAACCGGTCTCGGGACTTTCAGGGACGCCGTCCTGAAAAAATCAGGGCGTCGCATGTCTGGGATCGTTTCACCGATCCCCATCCCCACCAGCGTGGGCTGGGTCCCACTGGCCGATTTGCCCCCCAATAGATGGGGATATGGGCTGCTCCCCTCGGGTTGCGAGGGGTATGTCCCCAACTGGGGTGGTGAGGCGGTCGGACTCGAGATGTGGATAGGGATGGGGACAGGGTTCGGTTAAACGATACTGAGCGGAACCTCCCGCCTGTGCCCGATGGCAGAAAGGAAAGACCCCCGCAATGCAAGCACCGTCTGAAGGAAACGGCACAACATCAACAGAAGAAGAAACAACGGGATGGACATGAACTGTTGGCGCTCCGCGCGGACTTCTTGGATCTGCGCTGGGTCCCCCTCCCTGGCGCGCGGAGCGCGCCAGAGGCGGCGCCAGAGGCGCCGCCAGGGTAGGGGGGCAAGCGCGGATCCGAAGAATCCGCGCGGAGCGCAAAAAGTTTATGTCCATGGCGGTCTTTCGTCTTCGAGCAGTGCAAGCACCGCCTGGGGGACACGACACATCAACATGGGCCGTCGCTGCACACCCCACGTCGCGTCCCTTCCCAATCGTGCACGGCGCGCCGGGGGAGGCGCCGCAAGGGGGCGCCGAACGACCGAGCGAACGACCACCAACACGCATGGAAGTGCGGCCCCAGCAGGAGCAGCTGCGCGGGGTCGCGGCCCCGAGCGGCTCAGAGGCAGAGGCCATCGCTATCTTCTCGTCCCTGGCCTCTGGCTGCGAGGGGGCGGAGGGGGGGGAGGGCCCAGGCGCCGACCCAGGAACTCCGCGCGGACCTTCGATCCACGCTGCCTGTGTGGTTGTTGACCTCCTGCGGGGGAGCAGTGCACCACAGACATGGGGGCGATGCCCAACAGCAAGTGTTGGCCCAAACCGACACCGGCCGCTGCTGCGCAAGCGGCGATCGCTCCAAATCGGCAACGCCCGCGGCGACGCCGACAACGAACCCTGTTCAAAAGGGGCAGGACCTGGTTGCTCGTCGTCCCCGCTCTCTCCGCACGTGCCCATTCCGCCGCCGACGGTCCGCGCGAAAGCAGCGGGCCCCTTCTATTCTCAGCGCCTAGGACTGTGTGCTGGGGTCCACGCGGCCGTCCGCGCGCTGCGGGCCGCGGGCCGGCCGACTGGCGCACGCCCGGCGCCCTGCGCCCCGCCCGCCGCCGCCCGCCGGCCGCCGCCCCCTCAGGCGGGGCGCGACGAGAGGAAGCCGCCGAGGGCGGTGCCCGCACCGCCGGCGGCGACGCGCGACAGCGCTCGGATGGGCGCCAGGGGGAGGAGGCGCCGGCCCAGCCACGCCAGGGGCCCGAGGAGGGGCACGGCCAGCCAGCTGCGGCCCTCCAGCTCCGCCAGGAGGCTCGAGCTGCCGTCGGTGGCCAGGGGTGCGCTCCTGGGGCCGTAGCAGCGGGAGTAGAGCCGGAAGCCCATGACGATGGCCTCCATGGCGCAGAGGACGATGACGACCCACTCCAGCCTCCCGGCGTGCGTCTCTTGCAGCTCTCCCTCGAGGACGTCGAAGAGGTCCTGGAGCACCTCGAAGCGCTGGTTCAGAATGTCGACCCGCTTGTCGACCTCAAGGTTCTCCCTACATCTGTCGTAGAGCGGCTCGTAGTCGCCGTAGTCCCAGAGGATCTCGGGCGTGTCCAGGATGTCCGTCTCGAGGTTCGCCTGGTTCCTCAACACGAACAGCTCCCCCATCATCGAGGTGACTTGCTCCTGGCTGAGGCACACATCCCCGCTTTTGGCCAGGCTCTCGGGTATGTGTCGCGTCTTGGCAATGGACCGCTCCACCCTCGTCTCCAGGGAGCCGAGGCGTACAGACTGCGCCAGAGCGTAGGCCAGGGCGAGCCTCTCGAACGTGGGCGGCTGGCGACTGGACACGACCACCTCGGCGGCAGCGCTGAGGCCGTCTCCCAGATCCGAGCGCGTCACGATGGCGATGTGGTCCTCGTCCTCGTCGAGCTTGCTGAGCGGCTTCAGCAGGAACGGCTGCAGGGTGTCCTTCGCGATCCTCGCCTCGGTCGAGTTGCAGCCCCAGCAGACGAGGCAGCCGAAAGCGAACACGAAGCAGTCCTTGTGGCCGATCTTGAGCAGGAGGACGTCCTTGTTGAGCGCCACAACCTGCAGCTCGTGCAGGTCCTGATAGTAAGCGTCCTCGCGCCCAGGCGGGGCCGCGGCGGAGCCCGGCGACAGCTGCCGGGCCGCCGCGACGGCGGCGGACGCGATCTCGGCGGCACGCTTCTTCATCCGGTCCATGTTCCACGCCTTGAACTGCCGGAAGTCCACCCGGTCGGCCAGGCAGTAGGCGTAGCAGTTCTCCTCGCTTGGTCGGCGCTGGGACTGCTGCCAGCCGTTTCCAGAGATTCGCCTGGCGCGCCCGGCCGACCCCGCCCTTGCCGCGGCGCCACCGCTGGGCTCCGCCAGGCCCCGCCGCTGCGCCGCGCGCCGCCGAGGCGCCGAGCCTGGCCGGCTTCTCGCGGCCACGGTCGGGCGGGCCGTGGGGGCCGCGAGTCGCGCAGGCTGCCGGCCCCGCGGCGCCGCGGCAGGCCGGATCGCCGCCCGCCTCGGCCCGGCCGGGAACACGCCGCTGGGGGCGCCTGGCGCGGGCGCCGCCGGCGCCCCGAGCAGCAGGGGCCCCGCGCGACCTGGCCGGGCGGACGTGGCCGACGACGTCGCGGCCCCCTGCGGCAGCTGCCCCGCCAGCCCCTGCGCGGCGGCCGCCCGCGGGCGCTGCCGCTGGCGCCGCGGCCGCAAGTCCTGGGCGCTCGCCCCCGCGGAGGCCGCCGCCACAGCGTCGCCTGCGTCGGGCCGCTGGGGGAGCAGCCGCTCCCTCAGCGGCGCGAGCCGCGCTGGGCCCGGGCCTCGAGGCAGCAGGGCGCTGCCGATCTGCAGGAGCCTGTTGGTGACTGGGCGCGGATCGGTCACCGAGCGAGAGGGGCTGCGTGACCAGCACGCAGACTCCTCTCGGGCGGGTGGCAAAGAAGGGGTGACCCCAGAGGGGGGGTGAAGACACGGTCCCTAAGAAGAGGCCCTCCAGGGCCCCTTTTGGGGCCAGCTGGTGCCCAAAAGGGGCCCTGGAGGGCCCCTTTGGGGTCCTCTTCTTCCCCCCCCATCTGGGTCACCCCCCATTGCCACCCGCCCGATCCTCCCCAGAGGCGGCCACGTCCGTGTCCCGGCCTGCCGTGTCCTCGGGAGCCGTGTCCTCGTCGTCCGGGAAGCCGAGCGAGGCGGACCTCAGGCCGTACCGGGCCCCGGCGTCCTCGGAGCCGCCGACGCCGGCCTGCGAGCTGCGGGCCTCCTCCCCCTCGGAAGCGGAGGCCTCCATATGCCTTCGGCTGGCACCGGAAGGCCCGCGCCCGGGCCAGACTGCTCGAGCCCGAGTGGCCGCGGGCCACTGCGCCGACCTGGCAGAGGTGCTGCAGCGGGCTTTGGCGTGGATCTCGGTCCGTGCCGCACCGCCACAACGGCGAGCGGAGAGCGAAGTGGATTTCACGTGGGTTTGTTTTGGAGTCTTCATTCCTGGCCAGAAAAAGGATCGCATGACATTCACTTCGAAACCTAGAACGAAATTCTTCAGGACACTCGGGGACCATCCCATTCTTTTCAAAACGAAGCCGCTCTGCGAGGTTGGCGCCATGCTACGGGCTCTACGGAATGGCACAAGCGCGCCCGGAGGGAAGCGGGCCCTGCATCCTGGAGAGCTTCTCCCTGGGGCCAGCTCTTCCTCCTGGGGGCACTTTTTGGACGGTCCGGGGAAGCCCCCCCCCGGGAGCCACAAAATTTCCGCCCCAGCCTTCTCTCTGATCATTGGATGCTGGCATTTTTCCAGTTGCGGCTGCCGAGATCGGTCGCTGCAGGCTTTGTTTCCAAATTCGGTATCGGTCGCGATCGGTGGCGGCCTGTCGCCACCGATTTTGGGATCGGTCGCGATCGGTCGCGACCGATTTTGGAGTGCCAATCGCGTTACCGATCGCGGCCGAACACAAGTCAAAGCGTATCCAATGATCTGGGCATGACACCTTCCCAGACCCAGGACATGTTTTTTCGCGGCGTGGGCCGCTGGAGGTCTCGATCCCTTCCATTGGGGGCAGGCTTTTCACGCCGAGTCGCCTCTTGAAGGCCCTCGGATCTGGCGAAGGCCCCCAGAGGCCGAAAGTGCAGTCGGGCCGCTGAAATAAGGAACGGAGACCCCTTGTAAGCTCCAAAGCCGCCTTCGTGCCCGAGGAAGGATAGAGAAGCACCCATGGAAGGACCCCACAAAAACCGCCTTCGTGCCCGAGGAGGGCTAGAGGAACAGCCATGGAAGGACCTACGGAACATCTAGCCCCTTACAAACCCAGACTGTTCCTTAACGTTATTCGTTCGCGACGTGAGGGCGCCTGGGCTTCGCTCATCGCGATGACTGTCTTCCCCCAGGGTCCTTGAATACTATTCCCCAATCAGTTTCTGTACTGAAGGGGTCCTAGCGGGTTGTTGCAAGATTTGGCGACAATTCCCGCCGATTTGGTAGCAGGCTGGGTTCCCAGGTTCCCGGTTCCCGGGTTCCCGGGTTCCTGGTTTTTGGCTCCGGGCCGATTTCGGTGGGTTCTGGGCTCCTGGGCTCCCAGGTTCCCGGTCGATCTCCTCAGCGAAAGCCATCCACGGATTGGGGTTTTTCTCTGGTCTACTTTTTTTCAGCCGCGATCGGTAGAGACCGATCGGCACCCCAAGTCGGCCGCGACAGATTCGGAAGCAAATCGATCGCGCCCAGCGCAAGAATTTGAAACACCATCGGCAGCGACCGCTCTCGTCTGTCGCGACCGACAACGCTGGGCATCCAATGATCAGGGTCCCTGGAGCGCCAACGCGCCCCAGCGGCAACGACGGAGGCGCCGCCAGGGGGGACCCAGAATCGATCCCAAACATCTGCGCGGACATCCGACGCTCATGATTTGTGCAGTTTTTATCATCCGACTTGATGCCTTACCTCTCCATAGCAAACGCCATCCTACATCTAACCAGGCTGACAGCACGTGGATCCCGCGACACTGAACGACCAGCGGCTTCTCGATCGCCCTGCCGCTCCATGTTGGCCGATTCTGGCCACATCCAAGGATCAGGGCAAAATCATATTTATCATTAGGACGCCCGAGATGGGTACGGAAAAAAGTGGGTACAATGCCCAACAGCAAATGTTATCCCAAACCGACAGCGGCCGCTGTTGGGCAGGCGGCCTCCTGTCTCAAATAGACACAGGCCGCGGCGGCGTAGACAGCGAGTCCTGTTCAAAATGAACAAGAACTGCTGTTGGGCATTGTACCAATTCTTTCCGTACCCATGTCGGTCGTCCCGATATCAGCGTCCTTCCAGCCCGGAGCGAGAGAGCAGCGGGCCTGATGGGAAGCTGCCGCCGCTCCCGCGACGGTGCCGCCTTGCCGAGGCACAGCCTCATCAGCCCCTGCCGGATGTTGCCCTCGACGACGTCCAGCTCCTCCTGGGGACGCTGCGGCGGCAGGAGCCCGACGGGTTGGCGGCGCGTGCCAGATTGAATGGGGCCTTGGGACACACAAGTAAATAGAGACAAATAACTGTAACAGGATTGCCTATATTTCCTCATCGTTTCAGTGTTTTTGTCGTCCCCCCACTCCCCA